GGATAGATTGAAGGTGGTCCAATCGGAGAAGAGAGGGCGTGGCTGGGACAGAGCATGAGCGAATGGACAGCTGGAGCGGAGAGGCGGTAGGAATACAAGACAGCGGTTGGAGAAAAGGAAGGGAAAGCTGCTCTTCCATTGGTCGGCGCCTAGCACCGCGACTGAGGCGGCCTGGATCTCGCGAGACGTCCCGCAGCGCGCGAAATGCGCACGGGAGGCGCTGGGTCCGCGAGCCTGGGATGGCGATGAGGAAAGGCGGCGGCGGCGGCTGGAGGCGCCGGTGGGCTGCGGCGCCCCCGGCAGAAGACGGCGAGAGGGAGACCCCTCGGTGAGGAAGGCCCCCTCCTAGCCGGGGCTCGGTAACAGGCAGTCCTCGAACTTACGACCACCGTTTCTGTTGCTAAGTGAGACACGGGTTAAGGGAGCTCGGCCCCATTTTCCCACTTCTCTCGCACAGTTGTTAAGTGAACCACTGCAGTTGCTAAATTAGCAGCACAGTTGTTAAGCGAATCCAGCTTCCCCCATTGAATTTGCTTGCTGGGAGGTCGCAAAAGGGGATCTCGTGGCTACTGCAACCGTCATAAGTATGAGTCAGTTTCCAGGTGTCTGAATTTATGATCCCCTGACCCTGGGGATGGAGCCATGGTCGTTAAGTGTGAAAAACAACGGTCCTGAATCACTTTCCCCGGGTGCTGTTGTAACTTCGAACGGTCACTAAACAGATTAAGGCGAGGGCTGCCTGGATTCCTTTCAACTTGCGTTGATTTCAAATAGGTTGTTAACTGTGGTTCAAGACACTTTGTGTGATTGTGCTGCTTTCCCTGAATACAGGTATAGGTATAGGTAGTCCTCGACTTTCAACAGTCCATTTAGTGGCCACTCAAAGTTACGATGACACTGAAAAAAGTGAGCTATGACCATTTTCCATCCTTACGACTGTTGCAGCATCCCCATGGTCACGTGATTTACAAGTGCTTGGCAACTGACTCATATTTATGACTGTCACAGTGTCCCTGGGTGATCCCATTTTGCGACCTGCTAAGCGAAGTCAAGAGGGAAACCAGATTCATTAACAACCGTGTTACTAATTGAAGAGCTGCAACGATTCTCTTAACAACACTGGAGAGAAAAGTTTGTAAAATGGGACAAAAGTCTCTTAGAACTAATTTCTCACATAACAACATAAATGTTGGACTTGATTGTGGTCATAAGTTGAGGAATGCCTGTATATCCTGTCTTAGCTACCTAGTGATTTGCCCCCCAAAAGACCTTTTTCAGGGTTAGGGCGTTGGCTTCTCTGAGACTTAAACAAATTGGGTCAAAATTTGTTTGCAGGAATTGGGTATGTCTAGTTTAAAGAAAAGAAGGACTAGAGGAGACATGACAGCAGTCTTCCAGTATCTCAGGGGTTGCCCCAAAGAAGAGGGAGTCAAGCTATTCTGCAAAGCACCTGAAAGGCAGGACAAGAAGCAATGGGTGGAAACTAATCGGGGAGAAATGCAACCTGGAACTAAGAAGACATTTCCCAACATTGAGAACAATTAACCAGTGGAACAGCTTGCCACCAGAAATCATGGGCGCTCCATCACAGGAGGTTTTTAAGAAGAGACTGGATAGTCACTTGTCTGAGATGGTGTAGGGTTTCTTTCCTAAGCAGGGGGTTGGACTAGAAGACCTCCAAGGTCCCTTCCAACTCCGTTATTCCATTCTGTTCAAAATATTTTCCTTTTCTTGCCACAGGGATGAAGGCTCCTCCGTTTCAGCGCTTCGGCGTTTAGAGCGCAGCCAGTGGACGGACAAAATCGATGCGCTGTTTGGATTTGAGCGAATGAAGGAGCCCGCGGAAAGGACGGGGTGGTTGATCAACATGCACCCGGTAGGAACCTCCTTCTTTCCCTTCATTTATTTATTACGATTGTGATTTGTGACCTTCCCAGCCAGTTCCCAACAAAAACCATCAGTTGGATCCACTTCAGCGTGGTGATTCGCTTAATGACTGCGGTAAAAATGTGTTATGCAAGACATTGAGCTGATAGAATAGTATGTTAGGAGAATGTGATTTTCTAATGAAATGGCTTTAGTAACCTTGTTATTTTTAGACAGAGATTTTGGATGAAGATAAACGCTTGGTCAGTGCTGTGGATTATTATTTCATTCAAGAGGATGGAAGTAGATTCAAGGTCAGTAGTGTCTTTAAAATGGGACCTTTTAAAGGGGACATTTATCCATGGGTACATTTTAAAAGTACTGCTTGGAATTTGGAGGAAGGTTAGATATGCGATGAATGGGATTGTAGAGCATACATGTTAATACATAATAATACATAACGCAGGTTGTTTCTTGGACTATATTGTCTGGAAGTTATACTGTGTCTCACCTAGAGCCACAGGCAACTTATGACTCCAATTAATCAAAATACAATCACCTATAAAATCTGTGTGAATCGATCTTTCTGACTTCTCTGGTTGCTTTATCATTCACTAAACACTTTCCTGTCTTCAGTGCAAAAATGCCTCCCATTTTATAGATGGACAATTGGCCTCAGAAGTGTAGCTTAGGTTAAACTGGTAAGAAAGAAACATGACCTATTTGTCAAACATTGGAAACTCACGTTGTTTACTTGGTTCTCTCTCCTAGGTGGCTTTGCCCTATAAACCATACTTCTACATTGCAGCCCAAAAGGTTAGTCTAATCTGCAGTTGCAACCCAGGAGGGGTTTCAAGCCTTAAGCTGTTTGGACTTCGGTCCACTGTAATATCACTCTTTGAGTGACCGTACCTTAGAAGTAGTAAATTGTAAGTAAGAAATTATTCCTTAATGATTATGGTATATGATCATATCTGCTAGTGCCTTATGCACTGAGAAATTTGTGTGTTTATACACACATAATACATACAGTGCGTGCGTGTGTGTATGAAGGCTTCAAGAATATATTAACAATGACAAACAGCCTTTTTCTGAAAGTTTGCTGGCCATCAATTGCAGCTGGGTGACGTCTGTGCTTTAATAGTATCTTACTTCAATGAAACAATAGCTAGAAAAGATCAGCTCATCATTCCTTCGTCCTTTGCAGATGTACAGAAAATTTCTTATAAGCTCTTCTGCTCAGGTAGAATCGAATGGTTGTAGAAATAAGTTCTCCTTAAGCCATTTATTATAAAATGTCTTTTTTTTAGAGTTGTGATCGAGAAGTATCATCCTTCCTTTCCAAGAAATTCCAGGGGAAAATAGCAAAATTGGAAATTGTCCCCAAAGAGGATCTGGACTTGGTGAGAAATGGATTCAATAAGTTTTATTTTAATGTTGTGGAAGCTTTACCTAAAGTTGTAGCGTGATAAGCCTGGCCTATTTTGTTTTCGTTATATTTTTGAGGGACGTGAAGAGGAAATGAGAATGTTCCTGAGAAACTTATTATTGTTCCTATGTCCCATTCTTGCGCTACTTTCCTCCACCACTCTGTCTAGTGCAGGGGTCCCCAAACTTGCCAACTTTAAGACTTGTGGACTTCAACTCCCAGAGTCCCATCACTTGCTGAGGAATTCTGGGGGTTGGAAGTCCACAAGTTTTAAATTTGCCAAGTTTGGAGACCTCTGGTCTAGTGGGTCTACAGCAAACACTGTTTTGTATGCAGTGAAGATCAGAACTCTGTTTTTGGCTTCTGCAGTTAAGATACCAAGAATCCGGTGGCAGATGTTGGCATAAGGCTTTTGCCACAGAGTTAAGAGAATTGTTCCTAGTTAACAACAAGAATGAGGATGGGGCTGTGGCCTGTATGAGCGTAACAAAATAGTAACATTCTATGCTTTTGATCCCATGTTGCTTTTATTACATTGTGTCTCTAGCTCTGTTAATTTGATATGGTAGTCGTAATAGAACTAAATTTAAATATCCATCAAAACTAAAGGCAGACAGGTTTATGACTTAACAGTCATTAAAAACAAGCAGGAAGTGGAATCCTTTGCCAGGGCTGAAGAGATTGGACAAATTCACAGAAGATCAAACTAAGAAGCTGTGAGATGGCTCATTCCTTCTTCCAGGATCACAGATAACATGTCTTTCCAACAAGCTCCCATAATTTATCCTAGAGATAAATGGCTGCTATTGAATTCAGAGTATCTTTGTTTGGCTGTCAGACAGGGCTGCAGTGATTTCCAAAACACAAAAGTTGCCCTAGCCTCATTTGGTTCAGCTACTGTATTTGTAAAAGCATTCTTCTGTACTCCATATGGGGGTCTTATATTGCTTTGATCTCATGCTCCATGCATCTCTATGAATCAATCTCTCAAAAGTTTGAGCCTTTTCTTTTCTTTTAGCCCAATCACTTGGTTGGCCTGAAACGAAGTTATATCAAGCTTTCTTTCAACACCGTGGATGACCTGATAAAAGTCCGCAGGGAGATTACCCCCGCGGTGAAGAAAAATAGAGAACGGGACCAAGCTTTGGACACTTACACCACCTTGCTGACTAGGTAGGATAGTCCAACAATAGTCCCAGCACATAGCGCTTATAAGCAGCATCCAGAATAACAGGAAGCTTACTTCCTGTTATCTTCTCGGTTGTCCTCACCACTCTCTGTATGGGCTTTCTATCTGAGGCACTGCTGCCACCAAACCAAGCAGGCAGTCAGTTTGTTAAGACGCTCTCAACCCCTCTCAGTTGGAGGCAAAATCCTTGGGGAAACATCCTTTAAAATCAAAGCATCTGTGGATTGCAGTTGGATATAAAGATGAGTCACGGTTTCTGTTCTGCTGTATTGCAGCCACGCTTTGCCTGTTCTCAGCATGCAAGGAAATAAAACAGACTGGTTGTTGTTGTTTTTTCTAGCGCTCTCACTGGGCACAGCTTGAACCATGAGGAGGAGCCCTCAAAGAAGACCGCAGACCAGATGGACAACATCATAGACATGCGGGAATATGACGTGCCCTACCACATCCGTCTGTCCATCGATCTGAAGATTAACGTGGTAAGTGTGTGATCTGCCCTCTCACGTAATCCCCGGTGACCAGGATCACAGGAGGTGCAATATTAAATTCCTAATTTCTACCTCATCTTAATCCTGTTGGGTCCTCTTATCCTTTAACAGGCTCTCTGGTACAACGTTCACCACAGGGGCAGCAGTTTTCCCCCTGAGATTATTCGACGGGATGACATGGTAGAGCGACCTGTGAGTATCTCTGCAGAGGCTCCCCAGAAACCTCTCTAAAATCCCTAGGGCCTAGGCTTTGAAATATGGCTGTCAGGGCTCCGGCATCCACCCCCATTTAAATCACAAGTCTCTAGCCGCATCTCTCAGAGTTTTAAAAGAAGATTTATTAGGAGTAAACATGCCGGTGCTACCTGGGTGCAGCCGACTCTGAGACACATCACTCATTTCACCCTTGACCCTGGTCTTCCCCAACCCCCTCGATGTATATTCTCCAATGAGACACATCTATAGCCAAGAATCATCAATCATGCTTTCCAGTAATAATCTTGCGCGCCAGAAGCTTCGGCCACCTAGCAATTATCTAGGGAATGCACTACTTCCCCCACTCCCTTTCTGCTGGCAACGCTAAAAGACCCGAGAAATATTTTTGAGTTGACATTCGGCTCCCCTCACTTCTTGAAGGTGACCCGTGCAACCTTGTTACAAGGCAATCGGCTTGGAGGTTCCTACTCCTTACCCAAGATGCCTCTGATAAGGGGTAGCCCTTCCACTTGATTAAATATGTCTCCTGTGCCACCACAATTCCCTGCTCCTCATCATGGGTTTGCCCCCCCCCCCCCCTCCCCCGACCACGGGTATAATATTTTTGAGTTGAGAATGATGGCCTTGACTTTTTGCCCCTTTCCTTCTAGGACCCTGTGGTTCTTGCCTTTGACATCGAGACTACGAAACTCCCTTTAAAATTTCCCGATGCAGAAACAGACCAGATCATGATGATCTCCTACATGATTGATGGCCAGGTGATTTGTGGTCCCTGTAATTTAGTCATGAGATTGCAAAAAGTGCCGTTTACTTGAGCAGCTCCAGGGATCTCTAGGGTGGCCCAGCAGCAAAGGATGCAAGCATGAAGCCAGTTGTGTCGTTCCGTATTTGTCAAAGGAAGTTTGCAAACTGCACTGCAGAAGAAAGATGCTTACAAGGCGACTGGAGATGCGTTTGTGCATGGCGTACCTTTAAAACCCCGTTCTCTTACATGGCTCAGGATTTGGTCCAGTATAACAACTGGAATCCTATAGAAAAGAATAAGAATGAGACTGCTACTAACTCGGCTCTGAAAGAAGTCATGAATCGGGGAGAGGAATTGCAGACTTTTCTGGCCAGAAAGGTTGGAAATTTGGAGTGGGAGTCTCGAGTCTTGCGATGGCTTTCTTTGATCAGCTGATTCCGTTCTTCCCTTTTCCTCAAGTTCACAGAAGCCCAGCTTCCTTCCTTCCTTCCTTCCCCAGCTTCTGGTCTGCGGCCCACTAAGGGGCCTTGAGGTGTTTGCATGCGTATGCTGTTCAAAGGAATGCGGCTATGCGCACTTGTGTTCGCTTGCCAGCCACTCGTGCAAAACCATCCCTAACGTGTCTTTTTTTCAAGAGGCAATTGGACCTTTCTGGTTTTTCCTTTGAAGAGGTTTCACTTCTCCGAGAAGCTTCTTCAGTTCTCGGTTCAGTTCTTCTTCAGAGCTGAAGAAGCTTCTCAGAGGAGAAGCGAAACCTCTTCAAAGAAAAACCAGAAAGTCCAGTTGCCTTCTGAAAAAAAAAACCCCACCTTTGGGACAACCATGACCTGGATGATGGAGAATCTCTATAGACATTCCCACCTCCCGCTGGTTTTTTGGGGGAACTCTGATTTAGATGGTGACGCACGCGTCGGATGAGGAAAGCGGGAAGGGGTGCCAGACTCCGGCGTTGCACTGTTCCAAATCAATTATCTCGAGAGGACGAGCTGGCTGATGCAACATTCTGTGGCATCTCTTCCTCTTTGTGTGTTTCAGGGATACTTGATCACAAACCGGGAGATTGTTTCGGAAGACATAGAAGATTTCGAATTTACTCCCAAACCCGAGTATGAGGGCCCGTTCTGTGTATTCAACGAACCTGATGAGGTGAGCTTTCTTTTTCTCTTCTTATCCTTACATCTGTCAATTAAGTGGCTACTTAACTACACAAGTCAGTTTTTGATGAAATATCATTAATCTAATTGAATATGTACATGCACTTTAGATAGATTGATAGATAAATAGATGATAGATAGAAGATAGATGACAGATAGGTAGAAGATAGATAGATAGATAGATAGATAGATAGATAGATAGATAGATAGATAGATAGATAGATAGATAGATAGATAGATGATGACAGATAGATAGGTAGAAGGAAGGAAGGTAGGTAGGTAGATAGATAGATAGATAGATAGATAGATAGATAGATAGATAGATAGATAGATGAGATGATAGATGAGATGATAGATGACAGATAGGTAGATGACAAATAGATGATAGATAGATAGAAGATAGATGACATACAGACAGATAGATAGATAACAGACAGATAGATCGACAGATAGAATCACCCACCAGGCCCAGAAACATTCAGGCATGGTTGTTTGCAGAGGCTCATGAATCATAAGTCTCTAAATGACACACTTTGTTTTGTTTTCTTTTTTTAAAAACCAGGCTCATCTTATCCAGAGATGGTTTGAACATGTTCAAGAAACCAAGCCAACTATCATGGTGACATACAACGGAGACTTCTTTGACTGGTGAGAATCAGATCTTATGAAGTCTGCTCCCCCCTACACGATTAGGTGTGGAGATAAACTTACCCCGAGTAATCCTTGGGTCCATGGAAAGAAACAGTCTCTAAAAGCCACGTGGGATCTAGCCTGCGAGCTCACCCCTCCTTGTTGACTTAAAAGGGCCTCATCCTTACTCAAGAGAAACAAAGGTGCATGTTGAATGTTTAACTAATAATAATCTGGAGGATGGAAAGAACACCCCAAATATGTCCACTTAACCTGGAATGCTACGGCTTAGTGGTATTCCTATGGAAAAGGAAGTGGAATGTTGTGGAATTTTGGGAATTGAACATGAAGGCATAGAGCAGGGGTGTCAAACTTGATTTCATTGAGGGCCACATCAGGGCTGTGGTTGACCTTGGAGGGCCGGGGGGGGGGCAGCTTGACATCACTCGTGTCGGGGGCACCTGTGATGACCAAGTGCTAAGGCGGGACTTCCCTGAGACCCTCCCTCACTCTCATAATCCTTCCTTCCTTTTCTTCCTTCCCTCTTCCTTCTCCTTCCCCTCTTTCCTTATTTTTCCTTCCTTGCTCTCTTCCCACCTTCCTTTCTTTTTCTTTGTCCTTCCTCTTTCCCTTCCTCCTTTCCAGTCCCTTCTCGCATGCTCCAGTGCAAAAGGGGAAACATTTCTCCTTTTTTCTTTTCTTTTTGAGTTTGTTTGGCTAGCCCTCTGCCAGCGAATACAGGGGCCGGGGGAGGCATATACCCCCAAGCTCTGTTTTTTGCTGGCAGAGGCACCGCGGGCCAGTTCTTTGCCGTTTCCAGGCCAGCCCTGCGAACCAGATCTAAGCACCCCACGGGCTGGATCCAGCCCAGGCAGGGGCCTTGAGTTTGACACCCCTGACCTAGAGGAACTGAGCGGCCCGAAAGAGTCTTCTCAGTTTTCCTTTTTGTGTGTGTGTGCGTGGGGTAAAAATATTTGCTACCGTGTTGCTGCGTTCATTGTCTGATTCTGTGGCTCAACTGTCCACCTGTCCCCCAGGCCTTTTGTGGAAGCCAGAGCGGCCGTCCATGGGATGAATATGCAGCAGGAGATCGGGTTCCAAAAAGACGGCCAGGGAGAGTACAAATCCTCGCAGTGCATCCACATGGATTGTCTTCGGTAAAGGTTGCGGCTTCTCAGGCGAATGGGGGGCTTTCCTGGAGGTCTGCCTGATAGCGTTGGCCAGTGGGGGAAAGGCCCCGTCCTCTGGCACTGCGGCTATTCTAGGGAATCATAAATAATCATCATCATAATAAACTCTCTCTATGGTTCACCTCCATCCTTTGGGTTGCGTTTCACTTTGCCATCCGTTGGCGAGCACCTGGGCGTTGTTCTTTTGACCCAAATTCTCCAGAAGTTGTGAATGCTCCAACGCTGGAAGGTTTTAAGAAGAGATTGGATGACCCATTTGTCTGAAATGGTCAAGTCGCAGGGATCTTCAAACTGGACAGCTTTAAGACTTGGGGACTTCAACTGCCAGAATTCCTCCTCCAGTCATGTGAGCTCAGGAATTCTGGGAGTTGAAGTCCACAAGTCTTAAACTTGGCCAAGTTTGAAGATCCTTGGTATAGGGTTTCCTGCCTGAGTAGGGGTTGAACTAGAAGACCTCCAAGGCCCTTTCCAACTGTTATTCTATTCTATTCTATTCTATTCTATTCTATTCTATTCTATTCTATTCTATTCTATTCTATTCCATTCCATTCCATTCCATTCCATTCCATTCTATTCTATTTTTCTCATTCTATTCTGTTCTATTTTTTCTCATTCTATTCTATTCTTTCTCATTCTATTCTATTCTTTCTCATTCTATTCTATTCTATTTTGCCCTGATTCCTCTTGACAGGTGGGTGAAGAGAGACAGTTACCTCCCAGTGGGCAGCCACAACTTAAAAGCAGCAGCCAAAGCGAAGCTGGGTTACGATCCCGTAGAGCTAGACCCTGAAGAGATGTGCCGAATGGCCACTGAAGAGCCTCAGGTATTTCCATCCCAGGGCAAGGTTCCCCCGACTAGATACCTTTTGGTTTGATTTGGCGGTTTTTTTCCCCCCTAAAAGTTTTAATCTATATGTATAAAAGCGAAAGACCCCTCACGCATCATCACAAAATCTCCAGAACCGTAAAGCCTACAAACTTGAAATCTGGCACCTATGTTCCTCTTGGCGTTTAGGGGCTCACTAAGAAAGGATTTTTCGAAATGACCATCAGAGCTATTAGTATTTCCTATATTATTATTATTATTAACACGCTCTGATGTTAAGGAGTTCTACTCCCCCTCCCCACCTGCAAAGAAATCTCTTCCAAATGCAAAACACAAGCAGAGGAGAGGAGGTTCAGTTTCAGTTTTACAGCATCAAGCAGCTTTAGTACAGAACAGTTGAGCTAAGCCACGCCCAGGCTCCTTGCTGTCTCCTTGCTCACACAGCAAATACTGTTTCACTTTCCAAACAGCCCTCAACTCCCACACACTGACAGGACACTAGCCAGATGAATACCGATGGATGCTGGTAGGCAGAGGCAGGATTTCCCCCCCCCCCCCCCTTATGTTCCTCCCTTAAAACTAAGCCCCGTCACATAGTTTCATAGCGAAGCACAGGTATCGAGCTAGTAATGACGATAAAAGAGAACACACCAAACTCAAAAGGAAAGGAAACTAAACTGAGCACCCTCCATGCCCCCTGAAAAAAATCCAGGATGCTGGTTTGCAGCGCCCGAGTATTAAACTCGTCTCTTGGTTCTTCCAGACTTTGGCCACCTACTCAGTGTCAGATGCTGTTGCCACCTACTACATGTACATGAAGTATGTCCACCCTTTCATCTTTGCCTTGTGTACAATCATTCCGATGGAGCCTGATGAGGTGAGCAAGAGGGCGTTTCTCTTCTGCTTTGAGGGGCCTCGGTTTCTCTTTGCCCTGCCTCTCTCACTAAGGGTTGTATCTGTTAGGATTTATGAGGACTGTGTTTTGACGACGTCTATGATCCTGATTTATCACTTACTGCTTGTATGGACACCTAGATCTTCTGCACTGGAGACCAATTCCTTGTGTCCAATCACACTTGGCCAATAAAGAATTCTCTTTTTCTCTTCTCTTCTCTTCTCTTCTCTGTTCTGTATTCTGTATTCTCCATTCTCCATTCTCTATCCTCTATCCTCTATTCTATTTTCTCTTTTCTCTCTCCTCTCTTCTATTCTCTTCTCTCCTCTCCTCTCCTCTTTTCTCTCTCCTCTCCTCTCCTCTCTTCTCTTCTCTCCTCTCCCCTCTCCTCTCCCCTCTCCTCTCCTCTCCTCTCCTCTCCTCTCCTCTCCTCTCTTCTCTTCTCTTCTCTTCTCTTCTCTTCTCTTCTCTAAACCAGCCCATCACAATTAGCTATCACGTTGTGTTGTTTGCTGTTTCAACTTTTATTGTGTTCTTTGCACCTGGTCCTTTGGCACGATAGATAGTACGACTGCTTTTCTCCTGAACATCAAAATACCTTTCAGGTCGTCCTCGACTTACAACTGTTTCTTTAGTGACAGTTCAAAGTTAGGGCGGCACTGGAAAAAAAAAGTGACTGTGTATTAGGGAACAGCCGCTCGGCATAATCTGGGCCAGATTCTGGGAGTTGTGGATCCACCTTCTCTCCAGCAGCCTGTCAACTTTCCTCTTCCCGCAGGTCCTGCGGAAAGGCTCGGGGACCTTGTGTGAGGCACTGCTCATGGTCCAAGCCTATCATGCCAACATCATCTTCCCCAACAAGCAAGAGCAAGAGTTCAACAAGCTTACAGAGGATGGGCACGTGCTCGACTCGGAGACCTACATTGGGGGCCATGTGGAGGCCTTGGAGTCTGGCGTCTTCCGTAGTGACATCCCCTGCCGCTTTAAAATGGTACGAACCTTCAGTGGAAAAGGACTCTGGAAGCTTCTCCAGTCCCAAAGGTGCTCCTCCCCCCCCAAGAGGCAACTGGACTTTTCTGGTTTTTTTTTTCCCCTTTGAAGAGGTTTCGCTCCTTATCCAAGAAGCTTCTTCGGCTCTGTGAAATGAATCTTGTCTTATTCAGAGCCGAAGAAGCTTCTTGGATGAGAAGCAAAAAAAAAACACTCAAGAAACTGCCAAGGAGCCAACAGCAGCCCAACCAAAGAACCTCTAAGACCACCTCCACCAACACTGACAGGGCAAGCCACCAGAATATAAACTGATAGCAAAACCCACTACTTAACCAACACTGATGTTACCTAGTTGGGTCATGAAACGCCTGCAAGAAAACAAGCCAGCTCAGAGAGCACC